GAAGCCGCTTTGATCAAATTGGGAGCTGAACTCGACCAAGCTCAATTGGACCATGAGAGATACGCTGAACTAACTCGCCAATTGTTGGAAGAACTCAGGATTTGTGCTGATGAACGTGTTTAAACGCCTCTCCAATTGACTGTGATTCACTTGGTTAACATCAAATAAATTATTAATAATTGAATTAATGTTTTTTTCGTCGTTATCCACGTCTAGCAACGGAGCAAACATCCCCGACGGAGCGAAAGACTTTATGAAGAAACGTTATCACATTTATTTGATTTTCTGTGATGAGAGTAACTTTGTAATGTTACCAGTTCACGCTCATGTGTGTCAACAAGCAGGAATGGTAGAATAAAGAAATGATTTTGTTACATTACGTTACAACTTATGTTGAAAGAAACTGTTTAAAGGAGAATGCGCTTGAAATAATTAGAAAAATTTGCTAGTAAGACAAAAATTCTTACAGGTAATAAAAATAACAAAGACACCACAACATAGTTTTTATACATACAGTTTTAATTATAATTGAAAGTGAGGCAGTCATTAAAAGCTCAGTTGCAACACTCTGCAACAAAACAACACTCGGAAGTTTTTCGAGTGGAAATACAAGAAGAGTCACATTGAAGATAAGTTTGCAAACAGCGAAACAAAACGACATAGAATGTATGTTAACAGTTCTTTCCAAAAGCACTAAAGAAATGGCAAAAATTGAGAAGTGTTAACGATTTTGACCTGCAAATTTTACTTTTAAATKCGACATTTTTGGTAGTTGGTGAGTATAATACAGGCTAGATGGAGAAAAATTGCTCATGCAAAAGATTTGCCTAAATCTGGACGTTTTACTTTCTTTGGAATAAAAACCATCTTTCGCAGATTGGGGCCGATTTACACATGCGAAAATYTGTTGTTGRCCGAATAGTTCGGAAACACTAATATCATRCCGACAAAGTTATTCMACTGCAAGAGTTATTTGAAGATTATTTCAATAGGCAAAATGAGTTTTGCGAAAGGATGCAAAAGACATGAATTGGTAAGGTCGCTTGAAATAATATCAAATTGAAACCACATTTTTTGTGAACTCTGCTGAAAACCTCTTCGAACTTATCAAAAAAACTCTAGTTTACGGTACATCCGATCCGATAAAAACTTTATTTTTTTTTAAGACTTTCTAGACAAACAGAACGCACCTGCTTTAGCGACTTTGGGCAGAGAAAATGTGAAAACACTATAGAAAAAAAAGAAAAATTAGATCTACGCGCTAAAGCAGGCAATGTGTGCCATCTACTTATCGAGTCTAAAGTTTGAATCAAAAACCCCATAAATAAGCAAAATGCAATTTTTATCCTAACATTTTGGAAAATGCATTCAAAACTCTAAGAAGCAGACGTGACTGAAGAAAGCTCGTACCCATAAAATATCATCCCTAGAACGGTTATCGGCTATTTAAATAAATACCCATTTCCAAGAATAAAAAAGTAAAAGAACCCATTATTTATTTAGCTTAATCAAGCCATTTAATGATACTTGAACCTTCCAAAATCTAGATTGAATAATAGATGGCGCATACATGAATTGTTTATAATTATTGACAATTGACTACACGTATCTAATAGGTCTAAAACTGGTTTAGAAGAACCATTTTCTATTTTCCTCCTAAGGACTTTTGAAGCGATTGTTTGCTGCGGTTTGTGAGTAGTTTTCAACAATTGCTATCCATTTACTTTTTGATTCAATATATCTGTATGTGATGTATTTCAGATAATGACGAAAGAAAAAACCAAGCAAGTTATATACAAAATCTAATTCCTGCAGTCCTAGAGACGTGATTTTTAGATCCGTTCTTCGAGACAGGCTCGACGTCTTCCGGCAAGTTGCGCATTTCGTCTTTCGTGCTGAAATTGAGCTGCTTCAAGGTCAAAAAATCGCAATATCGCCTAAAAATTAATTTTGATGTGCTCAAAATTTCCTCGGAATACAAGAAATTGCCATGAGGTTTTCTTCGATTCTTCTGCTTGCATTCTGAATCTTCTTGTTTGCTTCGTTAAAATTAATTCATTTTGTTTTGCGCCGTGTAAATGAAATTTGAATCAAAGTATTTCTATTAATGGTCGGTGTAATAAATTGCATTTGGTTATCGATGAGACTCACAAAAATAATTTAATAACTTCAATCAAGAACTCTTTCAACTGTGTTTAGAAGTTTCAAGGTTTCCTCTTCGGATGCTACTATCAACATGGTATCGTTGCATATATTGTGTCTCTATTTTCTCCAAACATGTAAAACATGCTTGGAAATTGGATAGATTCCACTGCTGATTCACAGTAATTAAATTTACTTTTGATATCTGAATATCTTCAAATCTAGATTAAATAGCTACTAGGTAACGCATTAGAGTTCCAATTTTTTGGATTTTCAATCAGTTTTAATTTATTAAATAAAGTTGTAGAAAGGCTAAGTAGCTTTGGAACTATTTATTAATAAGTTACATAAAATCTAATATCAACTATTTTTTGGCACAAATTTTCTAAATACAACAAACTCTGCCTTCTTCAAGAAAGTGTCGGGTTCCTTTTTCGCTTCATCCTTTTCTTCATCATCTTCCTTTCCTGGTCCAGTTGAGCTTTTCTCGTATAGACTCAAATATAGATTCTCACTACATTTCTTAAGTTTGCTTTGACCAAGCCATGCGGTTCATCTTCGATTCTCCTGTACTTCTTCAATCTTCTCGTCGGCTTCATCAAGATTGTTGGACCTTTGGCGTCATCGACCAACGGGGGTCGAAAATATTGCGAATTTGCAACTCTGCTTCTTGTTAACGGATCCTGATGTCCTTTTCAATGGTGTCCCAGATGATGTAGAGCATATCGTGTTAGGCCCATCACTCACGGCTGAAGCCTCAAAGGGAGCAAATGCCGAAACAATTAGTAAGAACACAACATTTTCGCTTTTGAGGTTCTTGTAGTCAGTAGAATCTTGGAACTGTGGACAAACGCAAAGAGGAGCCATCATATGCTTATATTCGAGTTTCAAGAGCGGAAATGAGATAAAGCATGAATGCTATCATTGCAAATATTGATCTTTCATCGTTGGTATGTGAAAAATGTACGCAATGTATAGAATATTAAAAAACATTCGAGTGTTTTGCAAGGGAAATATTGGCAATGAAATGCGGGTTCAAGCAACGCAGTTGTCAAGAAGAATCTTAAGAAACGCCCAGAAAAATGAAGATTTATATTTTTTTCTTTGTACCAATGGAAGTAATTGAAGAAATACTTAGATGTGGAAGCAATATGCAGCGGAAACGTTTAAAATTGGGTTTTTCCAACAGTTTTTTTTATGACAAATTGCCTAAATTGCCTTCAAAGCAAATGGGTTTTCCATTCTATTCATTCTTCGGTGCCCTGCAAGCTCTAGATCAAACGGATTCTTATTAGGAAAAAAGTCTGGTTTTTGAGCTTTTGATGATTTTTTGCGCAAAAGCTATGAACGCTGCAAGAATTTACACAGAAGACTAAAATATCAAATAAGCAATAGTGCACTCACTCAAACAAAAACAGTTGATTTTAGCTGCCAAATAAAAAGTTCTGATAGTTAGTAGCAAGTCACTCGAAAATTTACCACTTGCTCCAAGCTTATGAACTRGGTTGTTTCATAAACATATGAGTCTTACGACAGCGAATTTCATTAAAATCCATCAAATTAATGTGTAGAGATTTCAAAAAACCCATATTTTTATGAACTTTCCCCATAAATAGCAAAAGAGCTGGACATTTCTTCTTAATAAAAGTTAGGTCAGATCGTCTTATTTTGGACAAAAAATTTTGCAGTACCCTTTTGATTATGTCCTTAAAGGATACACTGTATATTTATTTACCTTAGGAGTGTCTTTGAGTTTTAAGAAATGTATAAAAGATGTGCAGAAATTTTTAAAGTAAACTTTTGGGAATGTTTGCGTTTTGCTCCTGTGCGAAATTTTGACAAGATTTATCCTGCTATCTTGCCTAGAGTGCAAAGGTATGAAACAGCATCGAATCCTCGTAAATTGGAAATTCTGAATTTTTTCGCATGTTATGTGCAATTGTTGAAAATGCGTAGGTTCGAGTGATTGAGTTTATTGGTTGAGCGAATCATTGAGTAAGGTGCGCAAGTAATTTTGTTCTGGTGTATATTTATATAAAGCCTATTCGCTGTATATGTAAATCGCCCCAAATTTTCCTCAATCGGAAATTATGGTTTTTCGGAAATTGCGTTATTTCTAGTGCGAGTTTGGATGCCTCTCAAAAATCACCCCAGAGCTGAATTGGGGTGTAATTTTCTGAGATTGTAGACTGGAACTTGTTCAGACTAGATGTGCATAAAATGCCAAAACTCGTCTTTAGTTCAAAGTTAATTTTTTTTTCCAGAGTGTGCAACTGTTAGCAAAGTGCGCTGCTTCTGGCGTACGTTTGGGGGCCACCTAAAAATCACTCTATAATTGGACAAGGGCAGCATTTTGCCGAAATACTAGGCTAGTGGCTTGTGGACACTCTGTATATATAAAACATTCCACATCGTGCTCAATTAGAAATTATGATTTTTTTGCAGCAGTTGCAACGGTGAAAAAGTGTCTTATTTCTAAGACAAGTTTGGAAGTTTCTCAAAAATTACTCTAACGMTGGAGTGAGATGTAGTTTTCTTTGAATGTAGATTGGAACCTTGTCCATACCACTTATGCATAAAACAGCTAAACTCCACATTAGTTAAAAATTTGCAATTTTTYTKGCGGAGTGTGTAACGGCTAGCAAACAGCGCTGTGTCAACTGCAAGCTTGGAKGCCACTTAAAAATCACTGTGCAGACGAATATACTGCCGGTTTCCAGACATTTACAACTTGGAAACACCTACCCATTACGGTATAATTAAGCTTTCYTTTCAATCTAGAAACTGCGGATTTTCCTGCTTCTTTTTCAAAAAGGTCTACAATGTTTTATTAAATTCCATCATATAATAACATAAAACTGAAACTATCAAAAGACACAAAGAATAGGTACTGATATTTTTTAAAGAGTTTTACTCTCGAATAGCTAAGGAACATTTCAAGTCAATTAGATATATTTTTCTATTTGTCTACAATAAGAGAGTATTTAACAATTAAACAAATTAAACAAGAAACCATTCCTAAATAACCCTGTTCCTATGTTTCAGCTTAATACATTTTTCTCGAAAACCGTTGCAGATTCGAAAGATAGACACGAAAAAGACACGTTCTTAAATTGAACAAAAAAATACATTTTATGGTAATAAATCAGTGATCACTGGCAAAAAGCTTTTAAGGCGATAGCGGAGAGAAAAATTTAAAAATGTTGGTAGTTTTTCTTGAGTAGGTAAATAAAACGTAATTTTTTGCTTCAACTGATGCTTAGTTATGCGGACTTTCAACTAACATCCATAGAAATAGTTATAATAGTTGAACTAACTTCCATCCAGTGCTGGTTATTTTCCAGAAAAAAATAGATCGTAATCTGCTCAGGAATGTTGAGTTCAAAGCCTTTCAAAGCTCAAGAGCTCCCTCGCTTACATTTTTGCTATCTTCATTAAAGCTTTTTTAAATTAGAGATGGATGGCCACGTCCATCAAAACACTCAAGCATCAATATGCAACATGCGTAAGTTACAGACATTCCAGAGATAAAAGATCCTTGTTTACATTGATGGAATTTGCGCATTATCTCATTTTACACTCTTGAAACTCTACTATAAGAACCGGTGGTTTGCCCACTGTATTCATTCACAGTTCTGAGCTTCTATTGAACCAAAAAGAACCTAGAAAAAGCCGAACCAAAATGTTCAAGTTCCTGCTTTTGCTTTCAGCAGTTGCTGCTTTCGCTGCTTCAGCCGTGAGTATTAATAAAGTTTAAGAATACTGAAATTACATAAGTGAATTGGTATTTTAGGGCCTTAAGATAAACCCTGATGAGCTTCACATCATCTGGGACACCATCGAAAAGGACATCAGGATCCGTCAACAAGAAGCCGAGTTGGAAATCCGCAACCTGTTCGATCCCCTTCGCATTTTGGTTGATGGCGCTAAAGAAAAATTGGTTGTAGACATCTTTGAAGCCAACGAGAAGATCCAAGACGCAATTAAGAGGATCGAAGAAGAACCTCATCGTGAGTAATTTTTCAGGGAAATTTTACCCGAATTTATATTTACTTGTCCTTAATCAGTCCACGACGTCTCCCACTGCATTCGAGAGGCCGAAGAAGAGCTGAAACGTGTTGACGATGAATTGGTCAGAGAACACACTGAAACATACGAAAGGATCCAAAGGGAAGCCGAAGAAGAAGTAGACCGCGCCATCAGGATCACCACCGACATTGTGGACGAAATTGAAATATTCGGAAGAAGAGTAGACACCTGCAGGGATGTTGAATGCGCCAGTGAGTTGGATGTTGAAATCGTCACCTTGTACGAAAGAATCGTCAGGGACTTGGATGGAGCCCTTGAAATTGCCAACGAAGCCGCTTTGATCAAATTGGGACTTGAACTGGACCAAGCCCAATTGGACCATGAAAGGTACGAAGAAGGAACCCGCCACTTGCTTGAAGAAGTCAGAGCTTGTGTTGATGAGCGCGTTTAAATCTACCAGTCACCATTCTTAATAGTTGATTGATTATATGCATTGATTTCAATAAATTTATTGGGTGCCCACTTATATTGTCTATTCGCTTGTACCTCCTAACCATCCGTCCAGCTAGTTTAGCTATAAAATCTGGAATTGCTGGAATTTTCAGTTTCAGAGTCGCAATTTGTTGCTCAAGGTGCGTATAAACTAGTACCTAAAATAAATAACTGTCTCAACAGTGTGTAAAATTTTTGTTGCTAACCTTCACCATAATTTAAGAGGATTCTGGAATTTCATGTCCAAGTTCAATCAGATTCAAAAAATCAGCTAACTATCGGATTCGTACAGAAGTTTCTCATTATTTAGCGAAAACCGTCTTCTTTACTGCATATGTGTTACAAGTTGTTCATTTGACTGGTTTGTGAGTGTAGAGTTTTATGTACGTTTATGTATGTGCCGCTAGTTAGCTAACGGCTTCTAACAAATCAGCTAACATTCGGAGGCCTACAATGTTTTCTCGGTTTTTGGCCCAATTATTCCTACTTGTAGAGTAGACATTTGAATTAAATTAAATTTAATTCCCATATTAATTTAATTTAATTTAATAATTATAAAGCTTTAAAGTCCAAGTTGATCCAGAACTGTACTTTTACAGTTTTACTTTTATTTCTATTTTTAACGGAAATGTTCTTCTCTAGTAAAAATTAAGACGAGTGTTTGGTTATTGCAACGAAAATGATCCTATTCATAAGGTGAGAATGGAAGAAATAATTTAGTACCTACAATCAATAACAGTTTCAACTCTGCTTAGTATGTGTATTTTCAACACATTTTAAAAATATCTGGATAAATGAATGGCAAACTCACCTAATTACTGAAAGTACAAAGAGTGACTAATTGAACCCATAAAAAAAGTTTTTTTCTTAAGAAGTTCTCTGCTTCCTTTCATTCTTTGGTTTCTTAGAAAGTCAATTAGTTGTCCAAGCACTTCAATCTCCCCAAGAACTTTCGTTCAGTTGACGCAGTTCAAAACCTTCGGGTAATCTCAGAATCGGCTGATCAATGGAATATTAAGTTCTCAGCATTTTCCCTAGGAGTTGAGAGAGCCGTAAGTTGAGAATCTGTTCTCCGATTCTTTTCCTTTTCAAAACCCTGCTTGTTCGTAAGCTAAAAACTTGGTAAATTGGTGGACTATGTAAATTGCGTCCCAATCAGATTACATAGACGAGTTAGGACTTTTAGTACCGCGAAGATCTGGATTCTGTTAAGATTATCCCGCGATATCGTCGTGGCCTGAAGAATTTTTTTTGAACTGTAGTAGAGCCTTCTCTACTTCTTCTGCTTAAAAATATCTTCTTTTCCCCGTGTGTCCGTTGTTCTTCCAATATTACGCAAACCCTATTCTAAATACCCAGATAATCAACATTTGTTACATACAAACGGTCTTTGGAAGAAGTTGTAAAGCTGAAGAAGAATTGGGAAACTCAGATTTAAGTCAAAAAGTTTGCCAAGTTTCAGGAAATTTGGAGCCAAAAAAGAGAATTACAAGTAAAGCAAAGCTCGAAGGAATGTGAAAATATTGGCGTAGTCCTGGCATTTTCGTGATTGCTTCAACAGCTTCTGCAAAACCAAGAGATTTGCTGGAAGAAAATTAAACATAAAGTTTGCTTTTATTTTCTAGGTTTGTGCTTCAGAAACATTAGAGTTTCTGGAAAAACTGCATCTTTGAATCTTCCAGGATCGAATAAAAATGATGTCATTAAAATGCCATTTGCGGTTGTAAGAATAACAAATTCAGGATTCTCTAGAAATAACATTTTTCGCTTGTTTTAAGCCTCTGGTAGGGAAATCTGGAAAGGAATCAAAGGATTTCAACGCAATTCTTGAAACATTCAGGTTTATTTGAAAACGTCTTCAGCAGCATCTCGTCAAAACTTTCCATTTGGTTATTTTGCTGCAAATTTGCTACCTTCCGAACAATCGAAATCTCAAAGTTTGACAAAGAAACAGTGCTTGGTTTGATTCGACGGTTTTTCATTGTTTCAATGCTCATTTCTTCTTGTTCCTGACAAGTGTATGTTCTATACAATGATCTATATTTTCATTCGTTGACTTAGTCCCATTCAAACTATTAAAAATATGAAAAAATCCTCCTATTTTGCCCACAGAAATGAATAGAAGTAGTCGAGCAAATAGCACAAATGCATCGTGCTCTTAGATTAGAAATGATCACATGATTTCACTCAACAAGATGAATCTGTACGCAGTTGTTTGTTTCACAGAAAAACACGTTCATTTATTTGCAGGTAAACACTTCAATCGCCAATCCCTTCAACTTTTTGCAATTTTTTTGATAAAGTGCCGATGTTTTCCAGTGCCTTTCACCATATCTATCTAGACATTCCTTTGGGATTTTTATTTTCTCGGCGAAAACACTCACCTACACGCATTCCTGTCATTGCAACCAGAAAAAATCGGACACTACTTATTGGCTTATCTTCCTGCCTCTTGATTTCCCTTATAAATAGTGCGATATAAACGAACAGGGCCACGTATTGATGTTGCCACTTTACAAACAGCTCTACACTGCAAGAACATGTATCTGCTTCTAGTGATACTTGCGACAGCTGCAACATTTACTGCGGTAAATAGTTTGTTCTTCAATGAAAAAACGCGACCAATTTTTTCTATTTCAGAGCAACCAAATAACTCCGGATGAGCTGCAAGTGGTATGGAAAACCCTCGAAAGTGACATCAGAGCTCGTCAACAGGAGGCACAGTCGGAGATACGAAATCTCTTCGACACCCTGCACCTATTAGTAGAAGCTGCCAAGGGAAGCTTGAATTCAACCATCGAAGAAACCCATAAGTTCTATCAGGAAGAGTTGGAAGAAATCAAGGCTGAAGCTCTAGCAAATGGTAAATATCGTCCTTAAGTAGATAACGGAGCTTTGCAGAATTTGATGTTTAGGCAAAAATATTTCGCGCTGCATTGAACTGGCTGATGCAGTTCTGCTAGACCTGGATGAACAAGTGAACTCCACAGCAAGTGAAACCTATGAAAATCTTGAGAAAACTGCTGAAGAAGCAGTGAATCGGGCGCTCCAAATGGCGGTCACCGCTTTGCAAGAGCTGGAAATGTTAAACGGAAAAGTGGAAACGTGCAAAGATGATGAATGTGCCACTGAGCTGGATGTGGAAATAGTGGAATTCTACGAGGAAATCGTTGCAGATCTGGACAACGCCATCACGTTGGCTGAAGATGCAGTTTTCATAAAACTCACTGCCGAGCTGCAGAATAGCACTGAGACAATCGACTACTACAACGAACAATTTCAGAAGCTGATTGAAGATCTGAAAAGTTGCGCTGAATGATTTGCGTTTGATTGTTCAAATTGCGGCTTCTAGATGTTTCCAGCTCAGTTTTACCATCAGTTTAATAATTTTTTGGGACAAAATGGAGTAGTGGCAATGTCGAAATTGGCATTGAATCTACAATGAGTTTGCTTCTCGAATGAGACAATCGATTGTTTTTTATATGAAGTGCTTGGAACGATCGCAGGCAGCAATTAAGATAACCAAATGTACCGGATTGTTGATTACAATGAGTTGTTGAAACTTTCTGTTGTATTTCTAATATAAAAACATTAAATGAAATGTGTGTGTTTGTTTGTTTGGAGGGTTGAAGTCCAGTTAACGGTTTAGTAGGACTATGATATTTTTTTATCTTATTGAAGTAGCAAATTCAACTGCGGTGGAAAAGTTTCCAGATTGTCCTGGATTGATCTTCCCAGAAGAAGGGAAGATTTCAGATTAAGAGGAATTCTAGAGAAATTACATCATTTTTTTTTTATTTGTAACGCATTGTACAGAAGTGAACAAGTTTCATCTGGTTCGAATAAGAACTTCGAGAAGGCTTCTTTAGAACAGTTAATTTTCACGTTCCACTTCACATTTCCCCTAGTCAATGATGATTATTTTTTCGTTTTTTGCGCGACTTCATAGTGTACAATCGAGGTTCATCTGCTGCAATTGAAGCATTCAGGGCCGTAAGTTTCTAATCTCCACCGCTACAGAATGGAGGAAAATGCTGAAGAATCATTTTACTGCGTTCATTACGTATTTCCGCCTTTCTATTTCCACTTAAATTTTGCATGGATTTTCCACAGAAGCTTTTTCATCACTCGCTTTTTTCCTTTCTCTACTTCAACACCGAATATGCTAGAAAAGCCGTAGATCTTTTGGTTGTTGTGTCTAAAGCACACTTAAGTGAAAGTTTGATAGTCAGTTTCAATGCTTCTACAGTAAAACGTGGCTGATTAAGCAATAGTTCTCCTAAAAAAACGATTGTTTTTTAATTGCCGGCACTTTAAACTATTCTTTGGAACAATTGAGATAAAAAAAATGATGAAATCGCAGTCTGCCCCTTCAAACTCGGCTATAAAAATTGGCCCTGAATCTGCCGAAAATAGTGTGGGTAAGCAGTCGAGTCTAGTTCACAGCAAAATGTTCAAACTAATCCTCCTAGTTTCAGCATTTGCAGCCTTTGCTGCTTCCGCCGTAAGTAACTGTGAAAGGCTGCAGTCAGCCCCAAGTGAACTTTCTTTTTAATCTTCCTCAGAGCCTAAAAATCTCACCAGATGAGCTTCAACTGATCTTCCAAACTCTTGAAGCAGACGTCCAGGTCCGTGTCAGCGCCGCTCAGATTGAAATCCGGAACACTTTGGTTCCAGTCAAGATTCTGGTCCAGGATGCCAAGGCCCAATTGGACAACGAAATTGAAGATTCTGGAAGCTTTTACTATAAGGAAATTCTGGTGCTCCAACAAGAAGCCGAATTGCAAGGTAAAGGAGTGTCTTAGTTAAATAAACCCTTGCTCTAATGAGCATTTGACTTCATAGGCAAAGACATCAGCAGCTGCATTGAAAGCGCTAATTACAGCGTAGTGGCTATCAACCTGAACCTGACTGAAACCTATTACACCTACATTGAAGATTCTGAAAGAGAAGCTGAAGACTCAGTGCAACAAGCAGTCGATATCACTGCAAACGCTTTAAGTACTCTGGATGAATTGAAGCAGCGAATCTACGCTTGCTCGGACAACGACTGTGCTCAGCAATTGGATATTGAACTTGTAGAGTTCTACGGAGCCGTGGTTAAAGTAATCTACAATACCATTGAAGATGTTAATGTGGCGACTTTACAAGTTCTCCCCGATAATTTATCCAAGGCTGTTTTTGACAAAGTCCAGTACTCAGACCAGCTCTATGAGCTGGTGAGTGAAGTGGGACGTTGCTTGTAGAATACTGCTTAAGAAAAATTTTAAAATCAATTTTTTTAAGTGAATTAACGCCCTGCGGAAGTATTAAACAAATACATTAAGACAGCAGAACGATAACAACTTTGAAACATTGAAGAATGAAGAAGCGCTGATATTAATTGTACATACTTTCCTGACTGTGTTTCAATTTCAAATCAAAATCAATTCCTGGGCTTCAGTCATTTATTGTCTATTTATCAATTAAAATACGTTTCGGTGTTTTCCACCATAATCAGTTTCTCTAAAATAACAGATAGTAAAAAAAAAATTTCATTAATTTAAACAACAATCACAGTTCGTCAACAGCTTCATCATATCACACACTAAAATACATCACAATTGAAGCACTTTAAAACATTCTAAGATTAATTAGGCCTAACAGGTGATTAGTCAGGACAATCAATTCTGGGAAGAGACTAAAATTCTTTGTTTAGATACTCAATTATTTTTACTTGCAAGGTAAAATATCAATCCGATTAGAATCACATTAGACAGCAAACTTTAATAAAAATTGACAAAAATCTGTGGACTATCATGTTTGCACAAGCAAATTTGTTTCAGATAAAAAATCACCTCCAATTTCCAAAAATGTTCCTTTTTAATACCTTTGTTAACCAAAAAGAAGGCCAAGATAAGAGAATCAAAATGGAAGGAACATTTCAAGAAATGTTAAACATAAAGCCATAACAACCTCGATATTAATGCAACGAAAAATTGTTTTAAATTGTAAAAATCGATCCAGTAAAAATCGTACCCCCCAAGTGTAGCCGAACTCTAAACTAGCATTTAATTGAGCCAAATAAAAGATACAGTAGATCTTATTCAAAATCAATTTCACAGGCGTCGGTTTTACAAAGAGGCTCTGCCAGGGGCCCGATAAGCTTTGGATTGTATTGCGCCCTTCATCCCTTAGCTTAAGGGCGGTTATTTCAACCGCATGATAATGCCAAACAGATTGACGCTGAACAGTGTGGCTGAACTGACACAAAAGGGAATTTAAATCGGGTTTTGGTGCATCGTTTTTCCGGGATTTGCATTTATCTCACGTTTGCACTGTGCGTGTTAATTAAGTAGAAAAATGCGACGCATGAACGATCTTGACTTGATTAAGCCTAAAGGCGATTGATAATGGCAAGAAGATTGGGAAAGTGTCTCAGTTTAATTGATAAACAATACCAGAAACAATTAAAATCTCCAGCCAAAGGCTGTGTTGAAAATCCCTCATGCAGGCAGCTTTAAGCCGAGGGCAGAATAGCTTTTTGCTCCCGTTGCTCTTTTCAGAACTAATTCGCTATAGTTGCATGATGTTTTTTCAAACGGCGCAAGAATAAAAAAAGCACAATATAAAGATTAAGACGTTGCAATATAAAAGGTTGGAAGAAAGAAGCCTGTCGGGTTTAAGTCTGGCCCATAATGTGGGTAGCCGCACGCTCTGTTTTTTCACGTGAGATTTATTGAATTTCTCCGGCTATTAGAAGCATTTGATGCCAAATGGGTTGCCAATATAAAGCTGTTTTTTGCGGTTGGCGATTTGAAATTACTTTGAGTGATCGAAATTTTTGAAAAGCAGGGATTATGGTCAGGAATTGTAACAAAAACGTTGCTATCAGAAGAGATAGACTTTTGAGGCCATTCCTTGAAACTCGTGGGTTTTTCGGGTTTTTAGGCCGTCTTAAAATTGAATTTCTTCCTGTCGTTTCGCAAGCACGAGCGGCTTGCATCTTCAAAGGTGGTTTGCTTACGACGGCCTAAAAACCCGAATAACCCACTAGTTTCAAAAACGTTGCTGTTAACCTATAGTTTACTTATTTTTGATAGAGCTTATTAGGGCGATTTAGTATTATTGGAGTATGAATTCCCGACTTTTTAACAGAACCGATGATCATTTGCTTGAGTTTGAATTTGCAGGATTTTTACACTTTTCTTGAAACATTAGACGTGGGCATTGGTTTACTTTTATGAATATTTTATTAGAATTTATTGTAGTCCTCTACTTGTTTTGATAGTGCATGTTCTATTTGTGCCTTTTTTATTTCGTCCGACTTTACATGTAGGTACATTTTATTTTGATCCAATTTATTTGCTTCGTTTCTGGCAAGTTGTATTAATGTTATTGTTCGAGCATTAAAGCACACAATAAAACTTTATTTTACAAACTATGTAGTTTTAAATGCAGGCGTATTTTCTGAGCCCTTTTAAAGCTCTCAAGCACTATTGATTTAATCAGTATAGTTCCATGTAACCTTTGCACTTTAAACACACATAAATGCAGCAGAACCATCTAGAACCCTTTTCTAAAGGCTTTGTTCCATAGACCAGAATATTTAAATTATTTTTAAATGCAATTATTATAATAAAGCAAGAATATTTTAACAGTCCGAGTGAAATTTAATATGAGGTTTATAAATAATTATTAGTTTATTTTTTTCTTTTAAGTATCGTAACTAGTGACAAGATTATTCGAGTGGTTTTCGTAATCGAAAGATAACTAATATCTCGTATGACAAAAATCAAATAATAATTCTGATTATTTAGGCAAAAGCCAACACATTAAGCTATAGCTGATACTTTTGTGAATTTACTATTTTTCCTTCTAATCGTTAATTTCAAAATTATAAAATTTATAAGTTTTTCTCTTGCACCATTCTCTCATATCAATTGATGTATTTTTTTGTCTGTATCTACACGCGAGCATTTACCGTCGCATTCGATTTAATGCGACCAGGAATCGAATATTTCGAATTATTTAATTCGGTTCTTCCTATTACTAGTTCTAATTGCTACGATTCCGGCTAGTAAATTAGCTTTGCTGTAAAAATGAAATGTAAATTGTCGTATTTATTTATGTAAGAATAGGTTTGTTTCTATATTTTTTCTTTGCATTATTACAGTTTCTCCTTTGCTTCACCGTTTAGCACTTTTTCGGGTAGGTTTACTTTTGTTTCGGTTTTTTCCACCACTATTTCTTGGTCTGCTTTCCAAACTGCTTTCTTCTTCAAGCAAAATTCTCGTTCATCTAATTTGATTTGGAGTTTTTGTCGACTGAATGTGATCCATTTCATTTTCATCATTTTCACATCATTTTCCCCCAATATATTTTTATTATACTTGTTTGTTTGACTACTTGCTTGTATCTTAAGGTTAATGTGTAATTTTCAAATTTCGCATTTTTAGTGAGGTGCAATCTAGGACTGGGTAACTCAGTGAATTTTTAGGAGTTGGGGGAGTGCTGCGCAAATGACTTGGTGCTCACAACGCACCGGCGCAGTAAATCAGTTCCGTGGCAGGAAAAATGTTACTTTTTTTAGTTGCTTGGAGTGTTGTTCCGGTYTCGGGTCTCGTAAAGGTTTARTCCGCTTTAATAAATGAGTTATAACTCATTAACCAATGCATCTCATCTCATTAACTCATAACACTCAGAAAGCGGCAACAACGCAACACAGTGTTATCCAGGCTAACTGCCATTAGTCAAATTTGATCTGGTTGCGTTCGAGATTTTGTTTTTTGAATTTTCGAGGAACCAGAAGGACAAGCGAGATTTCTGAGAGTAACAGTTGTGCGGAGATCTTCGAAGACGACACAGATGCTTTTTGGCAAATACTAATCAATTGACAAGTTTACAGTGTTTTCTGCCTCGACACTGGAGAAGTTAAATCTGCGTTAGGACTAATTAAAAAAAAACGTTTCTGCCAAAGTGAGTGAGATGGCTTGATGCCGAATCATGCATTCGAAAGAGCGCACTTTCGTCTCGGGACATCATCAGGCAGGTGACAAGTCAAGCTTAAAGGAGACTTAAGAAGAGTAAATTGCGTCAAAATTTTCAAAAAATTAAGTTCCGCCAAAACCGAGTGGAATAGAACGTGGCCAATGCGTGTGTTGGAAATAGCACACATTAATCTGTGGATTTWGAAAATTTCGTCTTTCTGCGATATTATCGACGACGATTTGAGGAACCTTTCAACTTAGGCTGCGAGTGTTTCTTCGWAAACTGCACTAAGYAAGACTAAGTCAAGTGGAGAATTCGGGTCTGAAAGTTTTGTATTCGCACCATCATCAAGAATAAAATGAGAGCAAAACCTRAATTATCAATTTCTGCGAATCTACTGGCGATGGAACCATACCAAGTCATTTAGTAACATGAAKRGTTCAGCACAACAAATACATTGGACACTTCGGGCTGTCGAAGTTGTGCCAAGCCCTTCGGGCACGACACTGGTTTAAAGCCAAAAATATTCTGATYTTAGCCTGGGTAACTCAGTGAATTTTCAGGAGTTGGCGCAGTGCGTGCATTAACCGATGAATTATAACTCATTAACTGAGAGAACAGCAACTTAAAAGCGCAACTCAACGCAGTGTTACGCAGGCCTAGTGCAATCCGATGTTCTATCAGCACCAAGAGGTAGGCATGAGTAACGCAGTAGATTTTCAGGTGTTCACACAGCGACACCGATACGGCTTGCTGTATTGACATAGCGACACAGCGCGCCACACTTTTTATATGCTGGGAAATAAAAACAGAAGACGCTGTGTTTCGTGGTTTGTAAGTTTGCTAGCGGCGCTTTTAAGCGGCGCAGCGCGTTCAATGTTTTTTCTTTGGTTTTACTGAAGCTGAAGAGAGACTATGACAGACGCCGGTTGCGTTGTTTTACTGAAAGGGATGAATGAAGTGGCAACATGTTTTCTTCTTGTAAAGGCTATTTGTCTCACAAGTATCGCTGATTGGTTTTGACCATAAATTATGACCGAATGACTTTTGTTCCTTTATGTATGCAAGGGCTGACAACAACATTTAAGTTAGTTTTTTGGCATTCGTTGCCGACTGATGTTTCATGCAATCTGGTAGTAAAGGGCAGGCATTTGCCTTTTTGCTTTGTTGGAATATCGAAAACCCAGATGTTGTACTGGTACCTGCGACCAGCATCTTATGCGAGCCATATAGAACCGAGATAAATAAGAATTCATCAGTAATCAGTAGACAAGTATTTTAAGCACTTCCGTTTGTG